AAGAAATGTTTTTTGTTTAAGCCACCCAGTCTATGGTAATTTGTTATAGCAGCCCAATCTGAGATAATCCTTTCCATTACAGGTGAGGAAATGCAGGTTTACAGAGATTAAATATTGGTTTAAGGTCATATGACTACTGGTAAGTGATAGAGCAGAGATTCAGGCCAGTTCTGGCTCCAAGGCCAGTATTTTAACCCTTGCAGATTGAAACTTATCAAGCAGAGGCAATAGCAATTTTTTTTTTAGAAAGCTTGTGAGAGAGAGGATTGTAGGGTCACAGAATGTGCCAGCACAAAATATGCCACCTGGGCTTAAGGATTGTTTTGAGCTGAAGACAACTGAGGAGAAGCAGATATAAGAAAAGCTCTCTGTCCTCCCCCTATTTGCCTAAAAGTAGGACATAAATTTGTGAAGGTGTGCCCCCTCCTCTCTCTACCAGGAAGGACAAAAGTTAATCAATGGAGACAACTTTATACCCTTCTCACCCCAGAGATGGCACCAGAGGAAGCTATATAACAAACTTTACTAACTAGCCCTTATCTTCCATTAGTTTCCCCAAATGTTTACCTTTACACAATTTACCACCCTAGAAACTCAACGTCATTTTTGCTCAAAATCTCGTCTCTTCTCTAAAAAATTATTGTTCTTTTGTTAAGATGCTAAATAAGAGAATTCCTTAGCAGTCCAGTGGCTAGGAGTTTGCGCTTTTACTGCTGAGGTGCGGGTTCAGTCCCTGAATCCCTGGTCTGGGATGTAGAATCCCTCAAACCGTGGAGTGCGGCCAAAAAAAAAAAAAGATGCTAAGTAAGCTTTAGTTCTAACCACCCCTTCTTTGCATCACTCATCTCTTGGTACTGTGTGTGTGTGTGTGTGTGTGTGTTGCACATGCTAATAAACTTCTGTTTGCTTTTCTCTTGTTAGTCTGCCTTTTGTTAGTCTAATTAGAGGGCCCCAGCCTGAGAATTTAAGATGGATTGAGAGGAAAAAGACTGTTTTCTTCCCTCACGGGATGAATGCTTGAGACAGAAGTGGAGTCCTAGAAAGATATTTTCAGGATTGGGCAGCCTGCATCAGAAAGCCGGGCAACGGGGCTTCCCTGGTGGCGCAGTGGTTGAGAGTCCGCCTGCCGATGCAGGGGACGCGGGTTCGTGCCCCGGTCCGGGAAGATCCCACGTGCCGCGGAGCGGCGGGGCCCGTGAGCCATGGCTGCTGGGCCTGCGCGTCCGGAACCTGTGCTCCGCAACGGGAGAGGCCCGCGTACCGAAAAAAAAAAAAAAAAAAAAGAAAGAAAGCCGGGCAAAAGCCTCCAAGGGAGCAGAGACTGTCGATGCTAGAGAAATCTAGGACAGGTGATGAGCAGAGTATTGACTACAGCTCTTGATCTGGGTAGATGTGGGCTAATTTGTCTTTGTCGGCTATTTTGAGAATGCAGTTATCTGTTTAATTAGTTGAGATGGATTAACTGGTGAGGGGAGTTGAAAAGCAGTTCTTGTTTGATGGCAAAATGAAGTGAATTTATTTGCCTTACCTCAGTTTTCCTCTACCAAGCAACTGTTTAATGCGAAAAATTAAAATGTAAAATTAAGCCACCGCATTAAAAAAATGAAGCTCTGATACATGCCACAACATGAGTGAACCTTGTAACCATTACACCAAGTGAAACAAGCCAGCCACAAGAAGACATATACTGTCTTATTCCATTTATATAAAATATCTAGAATTAGGGTAAATTCATAGAGATAGAAAGTAGATTAGAAGTCACCAGGCGCTGAGGAGAGGAGGAAATGGGGAGTTATCCCTTAATGGGTGCTGAGTTTCTGTCTGGGATGATGAAAAATTCTGGAAATAGTGACGATAGTTGCACAGTGTTGTGAATGTAATTAATGCCACCAAACTGTACATTTTAAAATGGTTGAAATGGCAAAATTATATCCATAGACCACAATTAAATAAAATAGTAAAAAAAATTTATGCACCATGTTGAATTAATCATGTGGTTATATTGAGTTGTTTTGGGGGATGGGGGGGTTTGGACAGGCCAGGAGGAAAGGATGTTTTTTAAAATATGCAAAGTATATTTCCCTGAAGAAGTCACCACACTTTCTACCAAAGAGTATGCAGTGTATTATAAGCATCCATGAGATAAGACATAAATTGTTGTTGCGTGAATAGCTTGGATCCTTCTTCATAGAATTTGACATTCACCACACCCTTCTGATCTGGAAATACCGAGGCTGCCAATATGTAGATGGTTTTAATTATTATAAAGGTTTATTTTATTTAAGCATCAGTGGTGGAGACTTTGTGTATATTACACAAACAGCCGTGTCTTTATAAATAGTCATGGCCCTCACCTCAGAGTGAAATGTTTTTCATATGCCTTCCCTAAGCTAGAGGCTGCTTCAGAAGCAATTCACATGGTGTCTATATTGTGTAACAAGGATGAGAAGGCAGAATAAAAGTCTATATGTTTAACTCCAAATCATGAATTCTGTGAAATCTAGCTAATTTGGGCTGATGTTTGGCCACGTGGTTATCATGCAAATCATCATGTAGTCAACATTACCAGCAGACAAAACAGAATCCTTTTTTAGTTCATGTGTAGTGTGGTGTCCATGTATAAGTACATTTGACACAAAAATGGCCTAATTACGGGCCATATAGGGAGCACATTTTTCTCTTCACTTGAGTACCTTCAGAGTGCAGGAAGTCACACCAAAGTATTTTGAATGAGTGTAGTCATCGCTTTCAGTGCAATGACCTAGTCACAGGCAACAGGATGTATAAAGAGGAGTGATGCCACTGCTTGATGACATTGATCATGTATATATTTTAATGGTTTGCCGGGGTGTGTAGGGGAGGGTGTCAAGTTGGGCAATGATAATAATGGCTAATATTGGGGTAAAGGCGGGGGCAGTTGACATTTGAGGGTTTGGATTATAAATAACATATTCTAATACTGGCATTAGAAGGCAGTTAAGTGTCCTATAGCTGTTCCAACTGGCTGAAATGAGACAGGACATTGAAATAAAGGAATACTTGTGAGCATTTTGTCCAAGTAATTAAACAAGGAGGCCATAGACTAAGGTGGCTCCAGAGCCTTGGTAAGTCTACACGTGAAACCACAACCTAAGTTGGAGTCACTGGAATCCGAGAAAACAAAATTTAAGAACAACTAATCACAAACAGCCAACCAGGATTTCCGACTAAGGCAACTGCTTAAGAGCTGTAGCCAACCAATACTTTCTTTTATTTGCTTCCTCCTCTTCTCTGTAAAAACCTTTCCCCTAGCTGCTGTCAGTGGAGTGTTCCTAACCATTTTTGTTTGTTTGTGGCTGATTTGAATTGCTATTTGCTTAAACGCTTCAAAATTTTAATGTACCTTAGTTTATCTTTTAACAGTTCATTGTGTGCTCTCTGTGTGGTAGATCTACTTCTGTAAAAGCATGAGTCGCTAATTGTTAAACTCCTAAGTTTCAAGTGACTAGGTAACGAGCATGTGTGGAAGTTTTATTAAACACAGTGGAAATAAATGAAGACCACTCACGTGAGAACAGAGACTGCATCCCTTGCTATGTAGCAAGAGATTCAGCCACCATCTCTTTGGCAGAGACTCAAAGGCAATCACAGAGAGGGGAAGTGTTATAGTGCAAAAAAGGTGGGGGGGATGCTTCTGGTATGTTCTGATTAAAGTTTGTTGGCAGGGGAAGCTGGGGGAGGGGTGTCTGAAATAGGGAAGTTGGCAGCCTTTGAGTAAATCCTGACCATTCTGAGCTAATTGCTGCAAAGGTTGTGGCTTGGTTTTTTAAGTGGGCCAGAGTTTTATTATCATATATGGTCTAGCCATTGTCCATTTGTATATAAAGTCTCTCATTCATTAATAAGGAAGCTAACAGAACGGTAGAACTGATTCCACAAGGATATGGTAAATTGGGATTTATAAAATCATTGGGGAAAGGATAAGATAAAACTAAATTGATACAAAACTGGCTCATGTTTCTCAGGACAATGCGATTTTAAGCTTTGGGATTTTTTTTTTTGCAGTGGACACCTGCTGCTCATTACACCTCATCAGTTTTTTACCAGTTAATCTCTGATTCTCTTGGGTTATAAAACCTCTGAGTCCTCATAAACTGTTACACAAATGAAGCTACCTTTCCTGAGGGTGTCAGATGAACATCAAGTGAGTTTATTACAAAATCCTGTAGAAAGAAATCAATTTTAAAAAGACACACAATCGTCTTTTGGCTTTATTTCCAAATTTTGAGTAAATATTTACGTATTATCTCATACAATCTTCACAACAGTCCAATGAAAGTAACGTATTGTGGTAGTACAATTATTATTCCCATTTCCCAGACCTGAAAACCGAAACGCATAAGTAACTTGAGGAGTAACCAGCACTAAGTAAACGACAGCTGTAGAATAGTTGAGCACTGGCTATGCGCAGCTTCAAGTTGGAGTGAGGAAAGGCCAGCCACACGAAATTTGACACCCTCCAATACGTTGCAGGTCGTGGGCAAGGCCAATTATCTTTTCCGTCGCCTTATTTCTACCCCTTATGCAGTTTCTGAATCCGAAATCCTTTTCCAAGAGAGTTTACACGGGGGGCGGTTGGGAGTTCAGAAACTGAACTTCACGTCAGGATTTGCCTTTGCTAGCTGTGCTGTCCCGAGCAAGTTATTTAGTTTCACTGGGCCTCTTGTTTCCTCAGTTGAAAAAGAGAGAGCTGGAACAATGTTCTTCGAAGTTTAGGTGATGGTGACTGACATTTGATGTAAAGTCACAGAACATCTGATAGACAGTAACTTGAAAGATCTCGTCGCCATTTGGGTTAAACAGATCCCAGAGCACGCTGCAGGAGGATTTAGTAGCTTTACAGTTGTATTTCTGTGAAGGAAAGATTTCTTCCCTCTCAGCTGCGGCTACTTAACTCCCACTTAAGCCCCGCTCCCAACCACCCTCCCGTTGTCATGGAGACCAGGGACGCCCCAGCTCGGGATTCCCCTCCCCGGGCGGGGTACATGAGGACGCATGCGCGTTCTCGGCGGCCGAGGGGCCGCGGTGGCTGCCGGGACTGAGCTCCGAACCCGCGGATCAGGAAGTGGCGGGCGGAGCCCGTGGCCGAGTAGCTGCCTGAGTCGCCGCCGCCGCCGCCGCCAGTGCGGAGACCCCGACCTGGCGGGGTAGCGCTGGGCGTGCGTGCGGGCGAGCGGGGGCGCTGACGACGAGCAGGAAGCGGCGGCCACGCAGGCGTGTGCGGCTGTTGAGGAGGAGGCTCCGAGAGGCGGCGGCCGGGCTCGTGGGGCGGCCCTCCTGGCTCAGGTAGGGGCTGCAGCAGCGGGGTGAGGGGCGCGGAGCCCCGGCCTGTTGTTCCTCCGGGCCGCCTCCGCCCGGGGGCGAGCGGGCCTCCCACCCCGCGGGAGGCTGGGGCCGCCGTTCCCGGCGCGAAACGCTGAAACCTGCTAACAGCTTCTCGGGAGCATCGTCTTTTAGGCCGGAGGTTCATTGAGCAAAGTTTTGGGTTAGAAAGAGGGGAAATTCACATCGGAGAGCTGATTTGTGCCTCTTTCTGGCCCCCCAGCTTGCATTAGCAGCTGCCGTAGGAACCAGGTGTGTGGAGTTTGGGGAAACGGTGCCCAGCCACCCAAAGGCTGGGATGTAGGTGCTTTTTCCTGGACTGTTTTCAGCTGCCTTTTGGAGACCTACTTTGGAATGATTCCTAAGCTTGAGTTATAATGGTTGTTTCCTGCAAAGCCTAAAGACATTTCCCGAAACAAATAGCTGCGCTAACCACTTTTCCGTCCACCTCTACGTTTCTGTCATTTAAGAGGTGAGCAAGTGTCTATTCTCAGCTCGCCGGCTATTCATAGCAGTGTTGGCACCTGCGAGGCGCAGGCGGGAAAGAAGCGAGAGAGGAAAGAGCAGAAAGGTTGAAAGAAGTCAAATGATAAAGTGGAAAGAATGTGGGCTTTGGAGCCAGAAGACTTTCTTTTTATTTTTGGCTTCTTATTGGGGGAACACATGGACTCTCTGAGTTGTGGTTTGTTTTTTGTTAATGTCAGATGGGCAGGATGATGTGTCCTGTCTACAACACAGGTCAGTACATGTAAAACTCTACAGGTACTGCGTAGTCTTGTGAGGAAAAGTTAGGCGGAGCATGTGACGGTGAAAGACCTTAAACCTGTTCTACGTGCCATTGAACTTGACCCATAACCACACAGGTCGCCTTTGCTTGGGAGGCCTTTACCAGTATTTCAGGTCTGGAGTGAGGGGCACCTGATTTAGGAGTCAGGATATTCGTGTCCTGGCTCAGGTACTTTCAGCTGTGTAACCTTAACGATGCCTCTTCACTTCAGAGTTCACGTATTAAAATAGAAATAACGCGAAGTACCAGTTACCTCGTAGAGCTGTGAGGATCAAATGCTGTAAACATCAGGTTTTTGTAAACTGTAAGGCTTTTGTTTAAATCTGTGTTAAAATCATGGTTATAACAGCCGGGGTTAGTTATCTGTCTTTACAAGGTGAAATAAACAGATAACAGATGTTTCCTGTTTTAGGCTTGTTGCCCTCCCCTTATCACTGGGGAATTCTCCTTTCTTCTTCTGACACTTTTCCTCCCCAAGACTGCCTCCTGCCTTCCTCACCCCAGTGTAATCATTCGGTTACTTCTTTTCAGATCTAGCTCGAAATAATAGTACTGAAATGACATATATTTTATAGCTTTACTATTTAGAAAATCATTTTCACAAACATTTTCTCAGTTTATTCTTACAGTTGGGCTAGATGTAGACAGCATTGGTAGTACCCTTATTTTACTTATGATAAAATTGGATTTAGGGAGGTCTAGTGGATTGCCCAGGTCATGTTGCTATTAGGGATTAGAATGGAGGGAAGAAGGCAGGTCTTAGATTCGAGGTCCCGTGCCGGTGATTCTTGTTTTTGTTCCTTAGCTGAAGTTTACTCTGATTATTTCTTATCAATGCTTTTATATATGTATATATTTTAAATTTTATTGAAGCAGTTGGCTTACGATGTTGTGTTTAATTTCTGCTGTCTGGCAGAGTGACTCAGTTATACATATATATTCTTCATATTCTTTTCCATTATGGTTTATCTCAGGATATTGAATATTGTTCCTTGTACTATACAGTGGGACCTTGTTTATGCGTCCTACATATAATAGTTTGCATCTGCTAACCCAAACTCCCAGTCCTTCCCCCTCCCTGCCACCCCCCTGCTTGGCAACCACAAATCTGTTCTTTATATTTGTGAGTCTGTTTTTGTTTCGTAGATATGTTCATTTGTGTCATATTTTAGATGCCACATACAAGTGATAGCATATGGTATTGGTGTTTCTCTTTCTGACTTCGCTTAGTATGATGATCTCCAGGTCCATCCGTGTTGCTGCAAATGGCATTATTTCATTCTTTTTAATGGTGGAGTAATTATTCAATGCTTATATTTTTAACTTTTAGCATGCTAAGTCACGTTTTATTTATTTGATTTATTTATTTTTGGCTTAATTGGGTCTTTCGTTGCTGCGCGTGGGCTTTTCTCTAGTTGCAGCGAGGGGGCTACTCTTCGTTGTGGTTTGCGGGCTTCTCATTGCGGTGGCTTCTCTTGTTGTGGCTCACGGGCTCTAGGGGCGCGGGCTTCAGTAGTCGTGGCGCACAGGCTCAGTTGCTCCGTGGCATGTGGGATCTTCCTGGACCAGGGATCGAACCTGTGTCCCCTGGATTGGCAGGCGGATTCTTCACCACTGTGCCACCACAGAAGTCCCTGTTCATTGGTTTTTAACCGAGGTGCTCAGTGCTTTCATGTTCTCAAATGTAAGCTTATTGAAGGCAAGGATTTATCTTCCAGAACTTTTCATAGTTTGTAGTACAGTGCCTCACAAACAGAAGAAATTTTTTTTTAATATATTGGTTTTTTAAAATTAATTTATTTTTTAAAATTTTATTTACTTTTGGCTGCGTTGGGTCTTTGTTGCTGTCAGCGGGATTTCTCTAGTTGCCTTGAGCGGGGGCTACTCTTTGTTGCGGTGCGTGGGCTTCTCATTGCGGTGGCTTCTCTTGTTGTAGAGAATGGGCTCTAGGTGCGCGGGCTTCGGTAGTTGTGGCTCGCGGGCTCTGGAGCACAGGCTCAGTAGTCGTGGTGCTCGGGCTTAGTTGCTCTGTGGCATGTGGGATCTTCCCGGACCAGGGCTTGAATTCGAGTCCCCTGCATTGGCAGGCGGATTCTTAACCACTGCGCCACCAGGGAAGCCCAAACAGAAGACATTTAATAAAGGATTGTAAAACCATTAACAATGAGGCTAGAGCAATTTAAAGATGTTCTTCTGTTCATTATTCACTTAAATATTTATTGAGCTACCCCATGCTTGAAGGCTTTCAAAGTATAAGAGTCTTTTTCCTCTGGGACTTTGTTTCCCAACTTACGAACACTAGTCTTAGTAGTATAGAAATCATTTTTGTAGTCAGCTTGTGTACTTCTGAGACTCTCCATGGGGTTCTAGGGAGAGTTCAGACAAGAGAGGAATGTTTTAAAATACTTGTTGAATGACCTGTGGCTTCCCTGGTTGTACTGAAGTTGCTTAGAATTGTAGAGTTGTTTTTTGTTTTTTTTTTCCGGGATGCGGGCCTCTCACCGCTGCGGCCTCTCTCGTTGCGGAGCACAGGCTCCGGACGCGCAGGCTCAGCGGCCATGGCTCACGGGCCTAAGCTGCTCCGCGGCATGTGGGATCCTCCTGGATCGGGGCATGAACCCGTGTCCCCTGCATCGGCAGGTGGACTCTCAACCACCGCGCCACCAGGGAAGCCCAGAATTGTAGAGTTTTAAAACTGGAAAAAAACCCAAAGAAGTCTAGTCCCACCTCCTTCCAAATCAGGAATTTCTGTAGGTATTTCTAACATATTAATCCAGCCTCTTCACTACTTATGAGAGTCCACCAGTTTTAAAATATACCTTTTAATTTATAAGCAATTCTGATGGTTCTCATTTTTTTGCAATGAGCCTAAATTTGTCTCCTAATTTCCACCCAGTAGTCCTGCTGTTGTTCCTAAAGCAGCATTGTCCAATAGGAATACAGTGTGAGCTGCAAGTGTGAGCCACACATGTAATTTAAAATTTTCTAGTAGCCATAATTTAAAAAAGAAAAAATAAGGGAAATTAATTTAATATTTTACTTAACCCAGTATATCCAAACTATTATCACATTAGCGTAATCAGTCTAAAATATTTCAGTAATTTAAAAGTTCTTTTTGTTGTATTGAGTCTTTTAAATGCAGGTGTATTTCACACTTAGAGTACACCTCAACTCTAGCCCCATTTCAGGCCCTCTCTCAGCACTTCTGCCAGTGGCTGTTTGTTTTATTGAACAGTGTAGTTCTAGAGCTTTAGAGAATAATCCTATTTTTCTTTACTAGTGCCTAGCACAGTGCTTGGCATATAACAGGCACTAATTAAAGAATTTTTTGAGTGAATGAGTAAGTGAATAAATACAAGTGCTAGAGAACTAGTAATAAAAGGTAATTCTGTTTGGGAAATAACTCTTGTTGAGACCTGTGGATTTGGCACATAGATTTGAGTTGCTGGAATCTGTATTAAAGAAACTTATTTTTATCTTTGCAGCATTATGGATCCAAGTCTCTTGAGAGAACGGGAGCTGTTCAAAAAACGAGCTCTTTCCACTCCTGTAGTAGAAAAACGTTCTGTATCTTCTGAGTCATCTTCATCATCATCAAAGAAGAAGAAAGCGAAGCTAGAACATGGAGGATCATCAGGCTCTAAACAAAATTCTGGTTAGTAGAATTGACTCTTTTTTTTTTTTTTTGCAGTATGCGGGCCTCTCACTGTTGTGGCCTCTCCCGTTGCGGAGCACAGGCTCCGGACGCGCAGGCTCAGCGGCCATGGCTCACGGGCCTAGCCGCTGCGTGGCATGTGGGATCTTCCCGGACTGGGGCACGAACCCGTGTCCCCTGCATTGGCAGGCGGACTCTCAACCACTGTGCCACCAGGGAAGCCTGACTCTTTAGGACTGTTCAGCTTTTATTTTTTGGGAAACCATTTAGTTCATTTTTCAGTTCCTCATTCATATTGTTTGTTAGGTACTTTGTTAAGTGTAAGGGATGGGATGATGAGAATTTTTTGCTCTTCAGATGTTAATAGTTGTTTTGTAGTTAGAATTTAGGTTATTATCTTTAAGAAGAAAAAACACTTCACTGAGGTTTAATCTATATACTGTACCGTTCACTCGTTTTAAGGGTATAACTCAAAGATTTTTAGTAAGTTTACAGAGTTGTGCAACAACTATTACTACAATTGAATTTTTGTTCCCCCCTCAGCCTCTGATAATTAGTAATCTACTTCTTTCTCTATATATTTGCCTTTTCTGGACATTTCATATAAATGGAATTGTACAATATGTGTTCTTCAGTATGTGGCTTCTTTTACCTGGCATCTGTTGAGATGATAATGTTGTTCTTCTTCTTTGTTAATATGGTATATTACATTAACGGATTTTCAGATGTTAAACCAACCTTGCATTCTTGGAATAAATCCTACTTGGTCATGGTGTGTAATCCTTTGTTGTGGGATTCAGTTTGCTGACATTTTGTCCAGGATTTATCCATGTTGTAGTATGTATCAGTATTTCATTCCATTTTATTGCTAAAGAGTATTCCATTGTATGATATATACCACAGTTTATCTGTTCACCAGTTAATGGACATTTGGATTATTTCCACTTTTTGGCTATTATGAATAGTGCTGCTGGGAACATTCACATACAAGTCTTTGTATGGATGTGTATTTTTTTCCTCTTGGATAGAATTCCACTTAAGAGTGGAATTTCTTGGTCATATGGTAAATTTATGTTTAATTTTTTAAGAAACTACCAAAATGGCTCTACCATTTTACATTTTCACCATCAATGCATGTGGGTTCCATTTTTTTTTTCTTATTCTTGCCAACACTTGTTATTCCGTGTCATTTTGATTGTAGCCATTCTGGTGGGTGTGAGGTGGTATCATTGTGGTTTTAATGTGCAGTACCCTAATGACTAATTATGTTGAACATCATTTCATGTGTTATTGATCATGTGTCTTTTGGTGAAATGTCTATTCAGAATTTTTTGCCCATTTGAAAAAATTGGGTTGTCTTCTTCCTACTGATTTGTAAGAGTTCTTTATATATTCTGGGTACAGTTTCTTGATCCAATATCACAAGTGTTCTTGGTGTCATATTTAAGAAATCTTTGCCTAACCCAAGGTCATAAAAAAATTCCTCCTGTGTTTTCTTCTAAGAGTTTTATAGTTTTAGCTCTTAGATTTAGGTCTGTGATATGTTTGAGTTGATTTTTTTATGTATGGATTAACATAAGGGTGTAAATTCATCTTTTTGTGTGTGGTTATTCGGTTATCCCTGCACCATTTCTTGAAAAAACTTTCTTTTTCCCATTGACTTGCACTGGCATCATTGTTGAATATCAGTTGACTACAAATGAGAGTTTTTTCTGGAATCTAAATTAGGTTCCGTTGACTCATATTTCTGTCCTTATGCCAGTATGATATTCTCTTGATTGCTGTAGCATTCTAGTGACATTTTGAAATTGGGAAGTGTGGAAGTAAGTCCTTCAGTTTTTTCTTTTTTTCAAAGTTGTTTTGGTTTTTCCTGGAGCCTTTGCATTTCCATATAAATTTTAGGATCAGCTTGTCAGGTCTCATCTGTAAAAGAGCCAGCTGTGATTTTGATAGGGATTGCATTGAGAATTGCTATCTTAACAATATTAAGTCTTTCAGTCAATTAACATGGCTCTCTTTCCGTTTTTTTAGGTTTCTAATTTCTTTCAACAGTGTTACGTAGTTTTTAATGTATGTCTTGCTTTGTTAAATTCTAAATATTTTATTCTTTTTGATATTGTGAATGAAATTGTTTTCTTAATTTGATATTTGGTTTGTTAATTGCTAGTATATGGAAACACAGTAGATTTTTGTACACTGATCTCAAACTCTGCAACCTTGCTGAACTCATTATTTCTAGATTTTTGTGTGGATTTTTTAGGATTATCTATATGTAAGATTTTGTCATCTGCGAATAAGAACAGTTTTACTTCACCTTGCCAATATGAATGCCTTTTCTTTCTTTTTCTTGACTGTTAACATTGGCTAGTAATAGAAGTAGTGAGTGTGAATATCTTCTGCTTGTTCCTATCTTAGAGGGAAAGCATTCAATCTTTCACTATTATGTATGTTAGCTGCAGGGTTTTTGTAGGTGCCCTTTATCAGGAGTTCCCCTCTATTTTTAGTTTGTTGAGAGCTTTTAATATAAATGGGTAGTGGATGTTGTTAAATGCTTTTTCTGCATCTATTGAGGTAATCATGTTTGTTTTTATTTTTTATTAATATGGTATATTACATTAATCTGTTTTCAGATGTTAAACCAACCTTATATTCTTGGAATAAATCCTACTTGGTCATGGTGTGTAATCCTTTTTATTTGTTGTGGGGTTCACTTTGCTGAATAATCTACTTATGTAATACTTTGTACAGAATTTTTGCTGATATTTTGTACAGGATTTTTGTATCTGTACTCCTGAGGAATATGGTCTGTAGTTTTCTTCTCTTGTGCTTATTGGGGTATTTCTGGCCTCAAACGATTTGTGAAGTATTTCCTTTTCCTCTGTTTTCTGGAAAAGTTTGTGAAGGTTTGATATAAATTTCTCCTTAAATATTTGATAGAATTCACTAGGGAAGCCATTTGGGCCTGAGCTTTCCTTTGTGGGATGCTCTTGGTTGAAATTTCTTCTTACAGATCTATTCAGATTTTCTATTTCTTCTTGAGTTAATTTGGTAGTTTGTCTTTTTAGGGGTTTGTCCATGTCATTATCTACATTGTCCAAAGTTTTTTAGAGTATTCGCTTTTGATTTCTATAAGGTCAATAGTGATATCCCTCCCTTCTTTCATTTCTGATTTTAGGAATTTTTTGTTTGTTTATTTGTTTTTGTTTTGCTTTTTGGTTAGTCCAGTTTAAAGGTTTGTCAATTTTGCTGATCTTTTAAAAAAACAACTCTTTGTTTCACTGATTTATCTGTTTTTCTGGTTTTTAAAAATTTCATTTATTTCCACTTCAGCATTTATTATTTCCTTCCTTCTGCTTATTTTGGGTTTAGTTTACTCTTAGGCTATTATCTTTTAGACAGCTAGGTCAGTGCAACTTAACTCACAACAGAAATTATTTACCTCCTTCAAAGTGTAGCAGTGTAATCTTTATTGATGTCATCTTGTTAGATGTTCTTCAAGCTGTTGTACTGATGTTAAAGCAGAGCCAGTCTTTCTACCAAAGGAGGTTTATCATTCTTGTTAGCACGTGCATTAGGTTTGATTATCTCTCATTACAATGAAATTTACATGAATTCATAATAAAATTTTACAAATTGTTTTAAACATTAGCAGAGATCTGCTCTTAGACCTGGTCTCTTTGATCTGCTTAAGAATATCTTTGCTCCAAAATCTCAGTGGCTTAAAACAACAAAGGTTTGTTTCTCTTTCATACCACATGTTTATCATGTGTTGGCAGGGGTCTTAGCTCATTACAGTCACTCAAGGACCCAAGCTGATAGAGTAGCTGATATTTCAAATGTTGTTGGTTTTGTTTCAATGCCCGAGGGAAAGAGACCTCTGGAAGATCTTGCCTGGCAGTTAAATGCTGTGGTCTGGAGGTGATACACATCAATTCCTCTCACAGCTCATTAGCCAGAGCTAGTCACAGGGCTCTACCCAGCCAGTTCCATGTGCTCAGAAAGAGGGGAGCTGGAAATACTGGGTGTAAACACTGAAGACTACCATACCACCCTAGCTCGGGGCACTACCATTGGATTGCCCAGTCAGCTGCTTGTCAGGTGTCCTGGTTTAGCTTCCCTACTGGCCATTCTCTGTACAAGTCAGTGATTTTTCTAATCGTGAATCTGATGATGTCATTCTCTGCTTAAGGCTGATCATTGCTTTTCAGACAAAGCCCACCTTTTCCTGCAGCCTACATGCTGTACTTGATCTTGTCCCCCTTATCTATTGTGCCTGTATCTCATTTTTCTCCTTGTACTCTGTCCTAATGATACTGGCTTGTTGCTACTCTAACATGCTTCACTCTCTTGCCTCCTGGCCTTTGCTCATATTATTTCGTCTTCCTGGAACGTTCTTTCTTACCTCCTTCCCTCTTTCCTTTGGTTAACTCCTATTCCTCTTCTAGGTTTCAGCTTTAAAGTCATTCCCATTTTCCAATTTGTGTTTATTGCTTGGCCTTTGAATTCCCAGAGCACTCCCTGTTTCTGACAAAGCTATTGTGTGCCACTGTGATTGCATGATTACTTGTTTGCCGTTGTAACCTAATCCCTCACACATGGAAGCACTCAGTACCTATTTGTTAAATGGCTAAATAGATTACAGGGTAGGGTAGGGAAAAGGTAGTGTATGTTACCAAAAAATCTAGTTATCAAAGGACCTGTATGCTTCCCATCTATGGCAAGGACCCCAAAGTTTTCCATTTATGAAAATGTGGTTTTAACAAGTGCTCAGAGTAGCTCTTGGTTACCAGAATATTTTGTATACCTAAGTTCCACAAGTCCTTTGAAAGTTGGTTATGTTATTTTTTTTCTAATGTTAGAAAAATATGTAAAAACATTGTGTGGAAAAGTGATTTCAGACTGGCATGTAGGGCTCTTTAAGTTGAAAATGACAGATACTTATTTTTCACTTCCCATATCAAGTATTTTCTGTTTTGCCATAATTTTCAGTTGCTTCTTAA